TTATTTTTGTTAAGTAGCAGACTTTTGAAATTGATTTGTTTCGAAAATGGTGAGTACTATGGAAATCAAAAATTAGTATCGTTTTTGAGCAAATATTTATTTTATATTTTCATATTTCCTGGTCAAATTGCCGAGAATTGCAAAGAAAAAAGTCGAGGGAAGTGTTGCCCTAGTCCCACCTATTTTCTACGCCCCTTTCGGGAAATTCTCAACATTTCCGAATCAGGCATACAAAGTAATATAGATGTACAAAATATCGTTATCTCATCACATAATGTTTCGAGGGGGCGCCATTTTTGAGCTCATGTTGATATGAACCTTTTTTACTATTTTTGTTCATAAGATCTGAGGTTGAAATTTCTCCATGTAATTTTGGGATATTTGATATATTTGATATATTATAATTTCTTTCAAAATTTGACTGGGGGATAAGTTTTGCTTTGATAAAACTAATAGACTACCCGACCGGGGACACATGACTTTCGCTTCATCTCAAAAGTTAATTTACTTCAAATTATTCGCTGAAAATAGGCTTGTTTGTTTGGATTTTGAAGTTTTTGATATTTTTCAATATCCACGAAATATCTGTAATATTATAATAATTAACACCGGCAAAACTTTTTCATTCTACTAGCTTCTTCATGCTACTAACTTTCAATCATTAATTATCGACAAAAATATGATTTTATTCAGAAAATAATAATCCCTGTTTCAAATTTCTGTTAGGATTGATGCAAAAATGATGTATCTTCTATCATTCAGGAGCGACATTAATTTATTCAATTGATTTTTTCAGTACTAAAATAAAGCCAAAGTCATCTATCAAAATATCATCAAACTACTTAAACTCTTGCTTCGTTTTTTATATAGAAGGTTCTGCATCACCATCTAAAACCACCCCACCTTGCTTATGTGTCATCATTAGATTGAGAATATTTGGTACGCATCAAATATACAATAGTACCTATATCTTGATGCAACTTTCGATAATTTATGAAATGCTTTATCAAAAACAGCAATAAAAATACGGATTCGACTTGAACTCAACATAATATCATCTAATAAGAACAGCTGGAGCAAAATATTCCTCCATCAATTAAATATCACAATAACACCATGTAGTGCTGAAACCAGGTAATTACAGAAATAATTTCCTTGAAGGCATCCACCAAAAGTAATACACGCTCAAGAATGCAACTTTCTTGCGTTTTGTCTTTGATCATTAGGTTTCTAGGTCTATACCATCAATAAACTTGCATCACCTCTGACCTGGCCTATGCTTATCTCCATTATACATTTATATCGCTTTCCAGATTCAATGCCCTACTGCATCTGCTAATAGGTTCAATTATGATTATTATTAAAAGCGTTCGTCCGTATGATCGTCGGAAAAATAATAAAAATCTCGGACACCGATGCCGGAATGTGGGTTAAACATTTGAAAATGTGGGACTCGAAATCTTTGTATGATAGACAGCCGCATGTTCTCTTGTATGCATATAATTATCTTTATAATTAACAGAAAAACCGAGTCGACATTCTACCTACGTACCTAATTGTTATTGCCTCAATCGAATAACTTTGAACTTAGATCAAGAACGCATACGCAATTAAAATAGACAAAACACTTTTTCAAAACCGAACCTACTTTACGTATTTGCTCATAGTAGATTGTTTCATTACATTTCTCAATTCACCAAGTGCACGAATCAGATGGTGTTTTCTATTCGACTACCTCTATTTTCTGAAGGAATTGATCGATTTTCTTGCGATTGAATGTATCAGATGTGATATTTTTTGTTGAAATCTCAATGTATCGTGATATGACAAAAAAAAATCTGAGGGCATAAGTGAGGGTTATTTAGCTGTGTGCACGTGTAGATATAGGTACCAAAATAGTACATAATGTATTCCGTGCAAAATAAATTTTATTTAATTTCTCTTGGCAGAGCGCTTTCGACTCAGTCATCATCAGTGCGTACCTGTCAATAAGTAATCAGCTTTTAGCTATTGGAAAAAACTCATCATGGAATTGAGAATTGAAAAATGTTGAATATGAATTTAGAGATTAGTAAAAGTGAGGTTACTTAAATACTTACTCGTCAGGTTGGCAAGAAATTCACCCATAAAAATATCTCTGGTCCAGTTGAGTAATATTAATATTATGGCTAATAACAGTACAACAATCAGATTAGAATTTTTTTCCCAAAATGGGAGAATATGTATATTACTATTCTCTAAATTCAAATTTAACATTTTTCAATTTTCAATTTCACGATGATGTCTTTTTCAATAGCTAAAAGTTGATCAACTTTCACTAATTTCCAAATTCAAATTTAAAAATGAATGAATAAAACCATTTTCGTTTCGATTTTCCATATATTTTTTCAATCTTTCGGGGTGCACGAAAGGGAATCCCTTTTATGTTCGAAAAACGTCGTATGCGTACTTGGAGAGGATAGGTAGAGGAGGTAGGTATTGGCATTTTCTCTGAAGTTCCAGGGAATACTTTCTTTGACTAAGAATTTCAAAGCTTTGCCGTTCTATAGACAAACGTGTTTTGGTAAAGCATTGTTCGACATAATTCAAGGGTGATGACTGGGCTGGGTCGAGCTCGTCTGACTGATATTGTCAGTGATGGAATGAATGAAGAACATTTCCCGTGGATGTATCTATAGAAAAGTGAAAGATCGCATACTTTTCTACGGTTTTCCAATTGTATTGATTATAATTCACACCCTGTGAAAGTTCAGTTCTTTTGTTATTCTCTCATTAATTTAACTGTCCTAGAAGTCGAAAATACAGGTTGTTGTCGAAAAAAAGGGAAATTCTGATGAGTATATATGGTTCTATTCACATCGTATATTTACTTGAAGAATTAAATCACTCCCATTAATAGCATCGGTTTTTAGATCATGACCTAGGAACATTTCCCTATGGAGAGGAAGTGATTTTACAGGTTCATGTGCCGAAAGAAACATGGCAAAAACTATGTACAACGGTTTCAAATCACTGAATGGAAACTCGAAAGTTCAATAACTCTCTGAAAGTATAAATAAAACAAAACGAGCAACCGAATGCAAAAACGTTCTGAAAGCCACAACAATCCGATATTACGTGAAATTGATTTGCTGTGAAATAATATTATCACAAAAAACTTTCAGCAGTCTCGTAACTCATAAATAATACAGGGTGTTTCTTCAGCTCCTTGACAAAATGAGAGGAGCGAATCCTCACTTAATTTTAAGACGAGAATGTGGAGTAGTTATTTTTCGAGTGTCGCCTAGTTTTCGAAATACAAGGTGTGCAAATTTTGTTATCTGCTGCTTAATCTGAAGAAAATATTGAAATTACAAAAACATCAGCAGATTAGAATGACACTATATTTTAGACCCATTTTCAAACAAGGCTTTACAATCAGTTCGAGAGAATCTGCTTTTATATTAATTTACAAAACAGACTATATTGAGAAAAACTGATATTATCATCACACGGAATGAAAAATAAAATTATCATTGAGATAGAGAAATTGAATGCAAAACTACGTAATGAAATTGATAATTTGGAAACTGAAGAAATCGAGTAAATTGCAACATGATATATCAATGAATGACGTTTTCGATACCGACCAAATACAAAATGTATCAGTGGAAAGGAAATGCAGCAAATGGTGGAAAATCAAAACAATCTTCATGTTTCAAACTTCATCACTCGGGTATAGTTTTACCTACAATAAGAAACTATAGCTATACATATATGCATATTTCCTTTATTTTGTCGTATATATACATGCATTCTTTTCATGTTTATAACTTCGGCCAGGTAGCCGTGCGGACAGAGTGTCCATATTCTAATCCGCATTCGCTTGCCGGTCGTGGGTTCGAGTCCCGTCGACTGCAGACATTTTTCTGATGGCCCAAGAAAGTGTTTGGGATCACACGTTAAAAGGTAAGGCCCCCGTCATTCCTTGCTCGCACAAGACTCTCGAAGACTTTTGAGGGTTGCTCGTAAGGGGGCAACCGAATGACGGATAGAACAATTAAAATTTTTTAGAACTGTTGTTTTGCGAAAAATGTATCGCTATAAACTGAAGTGGGTGTTTATACACGATTACTATTTTCCATCTACGACTATGATTAATTTGACAGAAAATCTAATTTCTAAAATCGTATCTGACAATCAGGCGCTACTAGGGAAATTGAAAAGACAAAGAGCGGAATAGATGTCTTATTCTTTGATTCATTCAAACCATCGTAATATAAAAAATAGACAAGGACAGAAGTTCAGCTGTGTGCGAACTCCCATCTAACTAATACCATCCAGTGACTCTAGTCTGATGAAATAAAAATAGAAAACCGTACGAAATTTGAATACCTCTTGAATCTTGAAAACTGAGCCACATTCGAAAAAAGACTAAGAAGTATTCAACATTCTCGTCTTAAAATCATGCGACGACGCACTCCTTCCATTTTGTCTAAGAGGTTAGGATACACCCTATATGTATAAGAAAATATATTCTACATGGTGATTACATGCAAATACACAATTTTGAAGAATAGTATATTGTGCAACAAGTGAGAAAAGTACTTTTCTTGAAATCTCCGGAAGCAACTCTAATTTTCGCAGCTTTTCCCATTATCTCTGTCCCTGGCGGTGTATATTTATCAAAATCGTCACATCTTGGTATGAATATGATATTATTTTTTATGAGTTGTTGGAATAGTATTTGATGGAAACTGCGATTTCTATCAAAAGCACTAATGAGAACTACCCTAAAGAATTTAAAAAACTTCTGACAGTTGTGAAAACTATTCATAGCTGAACTGTAGCCAAGTTTTGGTCGATTTTTGTTGATTCTCCATGGATATGTATGTGGTGTTGGCAAAGTGCCGTGAGAAAAAATATTTCTCACAGTATGAGCAATACATGGTTTTGAAACTAAGTAAGCTATGAGAAATGCGCTACTTTTCATAGCATAGTAAAAAAATATATATTTCCAGATGAAGATTGGAACGGAGATCCTTCAGATTCCACCGTGTACCTAATGCACCAGCCGCCACAGGTCACGTTGCCCCGCCCCAACAGAGAAAAATCCCCGGAACCCGTTCAAAGGTTCTCCAGATATGCGGAGCCGTCCCAGCAAAAGTACGACAAGTCCAATAAAAACTTGAGGCAAGAAACGCACAGGTACCTAGAAAAACCCATAGCCAAGTTCACGGAAAACAAATACCTGGAAAGACAGAGGAGTCTGGACAAGGACAAGGAGATCAAGAGAAACTATGACGAGGGAGAAAGAGAAAGGTAAAAAACTAAATACAGATTCTTCTACTAGGCCTAAAATGATAGGGTACAATATCAATATATGTACTAATTGAGTTGATTTTGAGTTGACATCCCGACAGAATGTGAGCGTACTGATTTTACCTTCTGCTGAAAGGGTCGAAATATAAGATGTCAAAATTTCCAAATTCTCTTAGACATCATCATAATTGAAATTCGCGACTACATTGATTTACCCACTTTTTGAAAGGTCTTAGCTACTCTCGGGTCGAAAATAAAGAATATTGAAAAATCAAACTCTCATTGACACTTTCTGGAAGAAAATAATTTAAATTTCAGGAGCGTACCTACCTACTCAAGTTTTCAGGATATCGTAGCAAAGCACGGGTGACTTTAAGGAATTCAAAATAAATTTGTCGTTCATTGCTAGAGAATCAAAATCCCTGATTCAGCAACGTACTCACTATATTTATAACGGGATAAGATAGAATATATATACTGGGTGTCCCAGTATACCTGTTCCAATGAATTATCTCAGCCATTCCAAAAAATTTAAATTCTCAAATTCCATGATCTCCAATTCTCTCAAGGAAGCTTCAACTGAGAAAAACAAAAATTGAATGTCACGTCCGGTTTTACCAGAAGTGACTCTAACTTTATTATTTCAAATTGCACCCTGTATATTTTCTGCAATTTCTCATCTTTACTCAGAATAACCGTTCCAACGATGTATCACACTTCGTATTTTGAATTTGATTTGATGGAGAAAACGACAATTGAAATTTCAAGTTGAACGAATTGCAGTAGGCTACGATATCTGTGTAATCTCGATCTAGACTTCAATAATGATTTAGAATTATTAGAATTGTAGTAGATCATGTAATCTCCAAGTTTTCATCTCTCGAAATGGCTGAGATAATCTATTGGAACAGGTATAATGGGACACCTGGTATATGTACAGTGTGACCCACTTCTAATGGAAACACCCCTGTATTTTACGTAATCGTTGGGTGAGGATCTTGAAATTTGCTGGAGCGAGAGATATTCCAAAAATGCACTCTATGATCAAGTGGGGGCATCTTCAGTGATATACACTGTTCGCCAACAGCCATGGAAACACCCCAATTTCTGGAAAATGATATTAGGAGTCAAAATAGGTCGAAAATCACTTCAGATTCGGAATCAGGGCGCCTAATTCACTGACTACTCATATTTTTCCTAGAAAAATTTCAGTTCTGGAAAATTAAATTTTGACGCATTTCTTACGGAAGCAACCCTGTATCTTACGTAATTGACTTTATCTTTGGACTTTCCCTTCCTCCTGCAAATTTTAGAACCCTACCTCAATAATTCTGTAAGATACGGGGGTGCTTTCATGAGAAGTGAGAACAAATTTAATTTTTCTAGGAAAACTATGATAGTTGGTGAATTGGGCGTCCTGATTCCGAATTCAAAGTGATTTTTAACCTATTTTGACTCCTAATATCATTTTCCGGAAATTCGGGTGGTACCATGGCTGTTGGCGAGCAGTGTATATCACTGAAGATGACCCCACTTGGTCATAGAGTACATTTTTGGTATATCTCTCGCTCCAGCAAATTTCAGGATCCTTACCCAACGATTACGTAAGATACAGTGGTGTTTCCATTAGAAGTGGGTCACACTGTATATACATTTTCAATATCTTGATAGGGAGAGTAGGTAGGTTCTGGAATTTTTTGGCAAAGAATTCCAAAGCTTTACCAGATAATTGTAAAATTCTTGAAAACCATGAAAAAATTGCTATTGTAACACGAAATTATTTTAATTTCGAGTTACTGGGAAACTGGGAATTTAGATAAAAAATCTAATGCCTTTGCAGAAACGCGAAAGCTGTGAAATAATCTGCGAACTTGTAATAGTTACAGTTTTTATCAAGTTTAGGTAAAACATAGTAGAACTAACTGAAAAATTATCATCTAGGTATTCTTCGAGCCCTGCAGATAAAAACCACAAATTCGTCGACAAATACTATCAAAGTGATGAACGTCAACACAGAGACAAGTATGGTGGCTACCATGAGAATGAGAGGTTTTCGGAGAGAAGACGAGACAAAGACGAATTTCCGGAATGGAGGACAGAGAGGGAGAAACCATTGAAGTATTTTGACGATGATGGATTCGATGAAAATATGAGGTGAAAACAATAAGCTCAAATGTCAAATTATTATATGATTTAGATGGCACAAAAACGATGTATGGAATCTAATCACCAAAATCACAAGCAATAATCGCATGATGAATTCTGGATGAGACGAAAGTGATACCAACTCATGTTTCTCAAATGACACTGAATATTTTCAGATATTCGTATCTTACATAATTATGATTCCCTACTGACCTCTATGCCAAGAAAGCTAAAAATGTCCACTTAGCATCCGACCTTTCGGAGATGAGTTTGCTCCCATTCTCGATACGAAAATGAAAAATAATCATCAGCAATACTTATTGGTCTCTTTGTTTTTTTATTGAAACTCCCACCAATGACAGGAAGATGTGAATTTTCATTGACTGATCTTAAATCAAATATTTTCATACTCAGTTTTCTGAAGAGAAGTAATCTTCGTATATAGAGAAGAATTCAAGCCGATTCTTTAACACACCTTTTTTGATTGTTAGCTTCTCTTTCTATGATTTCAATATTATTCCACTCTCGCCACATGTGTTTAGACTCTAAGGAGAAAATCGATCGATTTTTCATCAGAATCCAGGAAACTAACGGCTTCAATTGAATATTTCCTCTCTATAGAAGCCGCAGCAAAACGACAGACTTCTGCAGAGAACAACGCTACTCGTACGAAGACGAAGAGGAGTACTTCGAAGACCCTCGCCAATATAAAGAGTACCCCGTGCCCAAGGTCAGACAACGGTACGCCAACGAGGAGGGCACCAAGTACTACCCTCTGGAAGCCCGAAGGTAGCAATAATAGTTTTAGTAGTTTCATTGATCCATTAAAATGAGCTTACAAAAGCCATTAGACAAGTCGGAATACACCAAAAATTACAAGTACACATTTACATAACTGAAAATAAGGTGAACTGACTAGAATAGAATGGAGACAAAATCTATAAGGATGAGATATTCATATGTTCTGTGGAAATGAACAAAAACTTTTCAATTTTATATGGGCTAATTTCATTATTTTTATTTCAACGAGGAGATTTTTCAGATTCAAACACTTTTTGATTACTCGAACATTATATATTTTCTTTAATAGCATTATGATATGCGCTATATAAGTCCCATCAGAGATACGCAAGAATTGAGATAATGAGACAATCATGACGTAAAACAAAGAAAGCTGTTCTGGTTCCTGTTCTTAGTATATTATTATGATTTTAGATAAATGATCATTTTCATTCGAGTTATCTTTATTCTGGAAAAAAAAAAACTAGAATCTCCATGATATACCTGCTGAAGATAATATTTTGAACTTCTTGATCAGGTTTCGGCATGACTCTAGAGGTGATATTTTCCCAATTATTCTGAAAATTTCACACCTAACATTTTCTACCAATTAAAAGCCTGTATTTTGTATCGTTACCATAACAACTGAACGAATTTCTGGAAATCTCTTTCCTCCTTTGGGAAAGCAGCATGACATTACTGTGGGAATTTTTTGACGTTCATAGGTAAAATGACATTCATATTTAACTTCAGATTACGTCGAATTCATTCTCTATGTTGATGAGTTTCTTGTGAGAAAATATATTCCTACCAGCTTTAGCTAAATGATTTTGTAAGAAACTGAGATGTTGAGCTACTATATTTCATTGATACTAAATAGTAAATACGTCGACTTCCTTGTGAGAAAATATATCAACTTTAGTAAAATGAATTGAAAACTGAAAAATTGAGCTACTATCGACTCATTTTTTATTATTTCACGTAACTGAAGTAAGTTATTTGTGTTTTATTGAACATAACAATGTTATCGATATGAATTATATTATTACTACCACCAGCTGCCTTATTGATATTTTGCGTAACTTTAATCGGTATTTGGTATTTCATCTAGAGTAATCTTATCCTATTATTTTTTCAAATTTCGGTGTGGAATTTTCTTACAGAATACCTACCTACTCAATTGAAAATTGGTAATAATATCAGTCGTTAATCTATGGTATCATCGAATTATGAATGGAAAGGTGACATGTTTCGGATCTTTAGAGTATCCATCATCAGCCGATTGAAAAAATATTGTGTGAAGAGATAAAAGTCAGTTGGAATCACATAGGAAGTTACAAAATTATTTTTTCAAAATTTTGTAACTTCCTATGTGTTTCCAATTGACTTTTTCTTCTCCACAATAATTGTTCAATCGGCTGATGATGGATAATCTATAGATCCGAAACATATTCATATTCAAACTATGATTTGATGATATTTGAGGCAACACGGACTTCTACAGTAGGTTTCGGAAATTCTTTCTCGAATACGAATATTTCGAAAATTCGTGTTATCGAAAAAATTTCTGGTTATAATTGAAGCTCTTGTGGTATTATAAGTGATAATTCGTTTTTGTACTGAAAAAACCGAGGAAAAAACTCTTTGTGCTGGTGAAGAATTTCCACAGACAATCATTCCGTAGCTGTCTGATATACATTTCTCTTGTTAAAACTTTTGTTAATCAAGATCGTCATCCAGGTCGAAAAGCCCGCCCAAGAGAGTCCCCACCGAAGACTCCAGACACTTCGTCGAGACGAAACCGGCTCAGAAAGACGGTCTGAGAAGCGTGAGCAACAGGAGCGACCAGTCGACCAGATCGCAGGACGGCGCCAGGCGGCAGGCCTTGGAAGAGGTCAAAGCACCCAGGGATCGCTTCAAGGACGCCAAGGAGAAGTTCCTGTTGATGGAGAGGGAGAGATTGGAGGGGGAGAGGGGCAGGCCGGAACCGCCCATTTCTCCGGTGCGGATCAAGGAGAAGCCTTTCCAGAAGAGGTTCGAGAAAGAGCCGGCGAGGAATATCTACGATAATCGGTGAGCTATTAGTGATTTTTTTTTCACCACTAGCTATATAATCTACCATTATTTACTCCTTTTCAAAGCGGAAACTGTGTTTTTAGACCGGCGGAAGTAGAAGTTAGTTTATCTGGTAACAAAAGAGGGGCAGAAGTCTCGTATTATTCCCTAGGGAGATAATGTGACATATTTTCTCCCTAGGGAGTTTATCAACTGTACATATTCCGCATAGCTCTGCGCTTTCTTTTCGGAACACCCTTCACTGAAGCGAGTATAAGCTGCATCATACAGATTTCTAGATCTTACTGGTAGCAAGTTAAGAATCACTGCAGAAGCAGTATCAATAGTTTCTTGGGGTTTTCCCTCGATTATAACCATTTTCAAAGCTGTTTTCATAAATTTCAGTTTGATATTTGCTGTCACCATGGGTTGTAAACAAGATGCATGTTGTCAAGATACGAATTCCACAAACTATACTACTACTAATTATGACAAAACACTATGACCAAATTTTAATTTTTTCTCAATTTCTGTGTTTTTGCCAACGTAAAAAATAGTATATACACCTCAGGACAGAATGCTATTTTTCCCTCGGTGCTTTGGATCTCTCGGGCTTCGCCCTCGAGCTACAAATCGCTCCTTGGAAATAATCTTGCATTTCTGTCCCTTGATGTATAATGTACTATTTTCCACCAATAACCTGAGAAATCACCATTATTCGAGGATTCTACTAATGAGAAGTAGCACTTTTTGAATCTACGTAAATATTGATGGATTGATGAAAAAATTTCACCTTGATAGAAAAAAACTTTCAATAGTGTCAAAGATTGTATTATGTAATATACACATATAAATTCCGATGCGTATGCAACCAACGAAAAATGATACACTCTTAAAATCAAATATAGTTGAAACTACAATAAATCTAATTATAGATGGAAGAAAATTTTGAAGTATGAATAACTACTTTATTCCTACAACACGCACCATCACTTACTCTTTTTCAAGATGCGAATTGATATCTCACTACAAAGGCAGTATTTTCAAAGATAGCCTTCATTTATGAATTTAAAAACACATTATTAAGTATATCACAGGTGAATTCAGCATCATTACCTAATAAAAATCATGAAAGTTAAAAATCATGAAAGTTAAAAATGATTGCACAAAACATTGCAATGCAATAGCCGGGGTATCCACTTAGAAATCACCCTAAATGCATCGACCAGTATCCATTATTCAATACATCTCAACAAAATAAATAGGAGTTTGAAAAACTGAAGAAACACGCTTTCATAGATTGAGGAGAAGTAGGAAATGGAATGATAAAAGTGAACATAGAAAATACTGTTTACGGAGGTGTCAATTATCTATGTTTAGTATTTATCATCACACTTTTATTATTCTATCCTCTACTACTTTTCAATTTGGCTATGTATAAAAACGTGTTTTTTTAGTTTTTCAAACTACTCTTTATTCACTATGCCTTATTGTAACTACCGTCCCGCCGTGAAAGTTTTTGCGCCTATGGCCTTTCTCATGTTGTAACTGTTTATCAAGCTACCTCTTCGGAAACTTTATTTGATACGAATGATTGATTCAAGACACTCCCGTTCTCTGGATGCAACTAATTTCATACCAACGAGTATACTTGGTTCAAGACACTGTCGTGTCCCTAGATATAGAAAGCATTGTGAGAAGTTATTCGAAGTAATATAAAAACAAACATTGGGAATTTTGGTGACAGGACATTTTGTTCGAGAAAAAAATCAATAGCTCATCCTGAAGATCCTGATCAAGATGAAGGAAAAAAATATCAAATTATGCTATTGTTATTGGTCCTTGATAAGTGCACGATGTTTAAAAGTTTGTCAAAATCACGTTTTAATATTCCGTTACACATACGAACATAGATACCAAGCTAATGAGAACGCGGTAAAAATCGCGTTTTCTTCATCATCTGAAAACACATAACTATAATGAAGCATCCTAGAATCTCGAAACGAACAGACTAATTCTGCTTGCCAAGCCTCATCAGTCGTACTCGTCCATGTGTGTCCATGTCAATACAACGATTGTCTTCCTTTCAGATACTACAGTAATCGAGCGGATGCAGACGAAGATGCCGAGCCGAGACCGGCCCCCAGACACGCCCCTGAGGAAGTCCGATACAGGGAGAGGAGCCAGCCGCAGGAGCGGTATAATAGGGATGCGGATAAGTACGATCCGAAGCGTAGGTCGATGTTCTCGTTGATCGAGGAGGAGCACAGGAAGAATTCCAACGAGATAGCTAGGGAGTTGAAACGCAGGTCTTACATGGACGGGAACGACGAAGTGGAAAGATACAGCAAGTAAATACAGATGGATCAGAATTATAAGAAATACAGGGGGTTTCATAATTTACCTAGCAAACTTCACTTTACCAGCGACGAAGAATATGAGGAAAAGTTTCAATGAACATGAACATGGAAAATGTCTCCTAAGAAAGCTATGGCCTCTTTAAAGGGGGTTTCTGAAGATGATAATTCCTGAAAATTTCCGAAACGCCATGAAATGAAATGATGCAATTCGGTACAAAACTACATTTTCCATGACTAAGAGTGAAACTGAAATCATTCCTAAATTTCATTAAGTAGTGTACAATACAGGGTGAGATTACATCAAACTTTTCTCTATGCATATTAATTTTCGAGAATAATTTGATCATGGGTTGAGAAAATTCACACCTCTTTACAGAAATAAAGTACTCTTGTGTCGTATCGACCAGATGTATCATTTTTGAGTAAAATCGATTGAAAAATATTGTTATATCTCAGATATTATGCATAACATTACAATCAATCGCAGTGAATATTAAAAAAAATGCAGGAAAATTGAAGTAATTTTTTATCATTATCATGCATATTTTTCAACAGTTCATTCTCGGATTATGACAATATACACCTCTTCACACAGAAGAGAGGCTCTTGTTCCTTATCGATCAGATACAATAATATCGAGTGAAATAGATTCAAAAATATTATTAAATCTCATAATTATATTATGCATAAAGCTGCAAATTCTCAAATCAGAGTGGATATATAAAACCACTTTCTTTCGACAGAACTATTCCAGCAATTATAAAAAGCTACTCCAATTCGTTGTGCATTTTTTTTCCATAGCCACTAAGATTTATTGCAATGTTATGCATAATAATAATGATATGTGAAATATAATAATATTACTGAATCAACTTCACTCGGTATTATTATATTATTATATAGGGCATAAAAATTTTAGTTCTTGTACCATATTTATATATATACCGTATATTATTTTATCACATGGCATTTCGGAAATATTGAGGAAATATCATCTTCAGGAGCCTTTTGAGGAGGCCGTAGCTCTCTTACAGGAGCCATTTTTCTACTCGTGTTTATTGGAACCATAACTTTTTTTCCTATTTCTCGATGAAGAAGCGGCTGGTGGAATTTGGTAGGTTAATTATGTGATACCACCTTGTAAATGGGTTATTGGGATATGAGGGTCTTTATGAAAAGTATTAGTGAAATAATACCTAATTTCCACATTCGTTTTACATTTTATTAATGAGATAATTAAAATAAAAATCAATAAATGGCAATACCGCAGAATTATACATTCACTTATTTATCGAATCAAGACATTTGAAAGTATAACCTCTATACAGCCCAAGATGTGTCGGATTTCTAAACATTACTATTTCTGAAGGGTTATAATTTCATTCATGCTGTTGAATACAGATTTTCCATGAAAGGAATGGCGAATGCCATAAAAATGTCTGCACCAATATCGATTCACTATAACGAGATAGAGTGAATGCATTCGATAATGAATCAATAGGAAAGATAATTATATAAATTCTACAAAGTAATTGATAACTACAGAGAACTTGGAGCGAATGAAAATTTGAATGAATGGCGAAAGCGCAGTAACAATATGGAATTCACCAATTCATGAAATATTCAAGGAAAATTGAAGAAATGCCTAGTTGGGCACGTCATCAACTGATTTTCGATAATGAAAATTCATTCCGTTCACCGGCTATTATTGACAAAAAAATGGAATTTTTAAAAAATGGCGAAAGCGCACAGTAAATCCACCAATATGTTTAAATCGATGAAATGAAATGTTAAAATATGTTCAACATTCAATATGACAAGAGGAATCCAACAAACTAATTCAATGAAGAATAATTGTACTGGAAGAGAACGTGAAAATGACGAAAGATTAAAATAATAAAATTATACTCACACCACTCACGAAGGATAATGTTCATTGAATTTTCATTTACGATACCGAATGCGATGAGAATTTATTAATCGATAAGAGAGTAGTAGCCACCCCAACGCAAAATGTTTCTAGAAGATGTTCTATTTATTTATTCATCTATCGTTATAATGTTGAAGATCCTCTGTGAAGAACTCCAAGTCAGGTTAGAGTGTGTAATCTCTGGGTTAGGTTAGGTTGTTGGGTCAGCAATTTTCAAATTGGGCTCGACTTGATGTTTATAAATTGGCGAAAGCGCAGGAACAACGAATTTATCTACTGACTTATATTTCTCTTAGTACAGCTGTAATCATGAAAATATAATGAATCACTCAATGATGACCTGATGAAACTGAAGTATTTAACATACAGGAACTCTGTGATATAATTCAACATCTAATGATCATTGGAATTCTGCGAATACAAAATACGAAAAAACATTTACGAAATGGTGAATGCGCAACGAATATTTTTACATCCACCAATGTTGGGAAAATTGAAAATTCGACTACTTTTGAGGAATGTTTCTCAGCCAGATATGAGAAGCAAAAGATTCAGGCTCATCCATATGGTATCTTGCTATGATAACATTTTTGAACATTTGTAAATTGCTTTTTTATTCACGCCATCAAATAAGAATGAGAAATTTGGTTGCTCTGAAATAAAAGCAAATTCGTGAATCAACCAATTATAAAGGAATATAATCACCTTCGAAGAATTTTTTCATCCTGAACAGGAAGTTGTAGTGTACGCATTCACTCTTTATAATCACGACAAAAAACAATTGACAAATGGCGAAAGCGCAAATATTTTTGCACCAAAATGAAGAAAACACTGGGTAACTGAATGAAAGATATGTATTGAACACCTCAACATGAGATAATTCCAACAGGGTTTGAAGACCAAGTAAATTCCGGTTGATAAAGTAGATTTTCCGTTTTCAGCAACATTGACAGACACTATCAAGACTTTCCCGAAGCTGACAGATTCGTGGAGACGTATTCCAAGTCGAGTGCAGAGTTGGACAAAGTTAGCGAATTGAAATACGTGAGGAATCAAAAAGCCACCAAAAACTCAGCGGGATACAGACACAGCTATGCCGAACCGAAACTGAGGATGGACAAAGCAGGAAAGAAACACTTTGCGGAGATGTTGCATAGAACTAATAGTTCGGTGGGAAATAATGGGAGGGTAGGGATTGCTAGCGTACATCCGTACTAGTTTGGGGAGATTTTGTGATATTTTTCTGGGGCGATTTATGAAAAATATTTTCAGAATTTTGAGGAATTGAAAACTAGTAATCCACCTAATTTTTTGAAAAAGTTCAGATTATTTGAATATTTGTACGTTACTGAAAGTGTACTAGGGTTGAACAAATATATCATTCATAACAATAGATAGGAAATCAGTCTAGACACTCCTATATGCTCCTATTGATGAATATGAAGTTGAAGAATGACTTTGACTAGTCGATTATTATAAATCGGAGTGTATACATAGTATATTGTCATTTAAATTGATAATTTTGTAATAGTTATGAAGCTAAGTTGAGAAAATCACGGTCGTACTATTATGCATAATTGAAACAATATAAAAATGCTGCCCTCAGAATACAAGTTTGATTTTATAATTGATGTTGTATTCGGAAAAAAAAATTGGTGTTAACTAGAAATATTAATGGAAAAAATAATAATTGCTCATAATATTTATTAGGTATATTGTAATGAATTGATGATCATCTTTTATTTTCAAAAGAACGAACCTTTCAGTATTGACTAATGAAATACGATAGTCACTGGGAGAATCGTAAAAAAATTATTTTATATGTATACAAACATCGTTTTTTGTCTTATTTCAAATTATTTATTCTTTCTAATGTGCCTTATTCGATAGATATATTTTTATTATGACTTTCTGGTGAATTTTATTTTTATAGATGAAATCTTCGCGAGTTCTACTGTATGTTATTCTTTATTTAATTTTAACAATATTGCATGTTTTTTACTCCGTTGTTTTCTGATATTTTATATCAATAAAATGTATATTTTCAACTAATTTGTATTCTTTAGCTTCGAAATATTATCGCATTCGATTCACTTCGAGAAAGTTTCTCTGCATGAATTGAAAAACTGAATTCATTGAAAAAAATGTCAAAATCCAGCATTCTATTCAAATTCGCTATATATCATGACGCTACCATACTGATCATATTCAAGTTTCCTATATTGATTTCAGAGGCGATTTTTTTCCGTTTCACATATACTATCGCTAGATGGCCTAACATGTTATATTTCTTAAATATTATCATTCAATTATCTTCGCCCAATCGGCAAAATTCGAGAACAAAAAATATGATATTTCGAGGAAATAATAATATATTTTTTCCTAAGGTTCATGAATTCTATTCGGGTTTTAATTGTGACAAATATAGGGCCTAGAGTACTAATACAGAATTGTCACATTTGTTGGTATACTACAAGAAGATTTTGTTTTCGTGTCGTTTGTTGTTTCACAGTTTAATGTTGGAATTGAACATGATATCTACCTGTTTTTTCCATCTTTTTCATCAAAATCAAATATGGCTGCTATTAGGAAAACGATACAATAATGGTGGAGTAATCCATTCTTAATCTCCTAATGCCATTTTACTTCTGCTTATCCAAGCTATATCAGAAGAATGGGAGGCAATTTCAATGGACTTCATCAACAACCTCATAGAATCTATGCCAAACCGATTTCATGAGGTTTCGTTGAATCGGGAGGCCTACCAAGTACTGAAATTTAGGAAATAGGACTTTCTAGTTGGATCTTCATGATGCTGAAGAATTCACTAATGTCATATAACGACAATAGAGAACTTTTCGAATAGTTTTAGTGGATATGAAGTGTTACACATTTTATTTTCCATCTTGTTTTACTTCTATAAAATTTGTTTGTGATAGACTTTTTATGTAATATCGTAGTTGTGGTTAAAATTTGTCAGATAAGTTGTAAAACACTCAGTATGTTGAACAACAATACTCTGTGTCTCATACTTGGGCAATAAATATTGGAAATCATCGATATCAGGAAACAAGTTTGAATTGAAAATGTTCATCCTGTATTTCGATTAGAGGTGAATTTACGAAAAGGTCTCGAGTTAATAGTCTAATATAAATAATGGATATCGAGAAGGCCGTTTCTGAATATACTGAATCGAATGGGCCATAGTTTTAGTCACCATTTTTGACTTTTTTTACTGAAATAAGATTTTGTCCTATTTTCTTATCATCCTGTGTATTCCATAAAAGTGCTTTTTTCGTCTTTCATTGTCCTCCACAAAACATGAAAATAGTTCTTCCCTATATAGTCAGCTCAAGTGGAGTTCCAGAGAAAAAGTTCAAGTAATGCAAGAATTCCGAAAAAAAATCGAATTTTTGTTCCAATGGCCAATTAAGTAGAAATCACGAACACGTCCCGAGATGAGGTCCCAGTGTATCATAATATGACTGACTTTTGATCAGAAAAAAATGTCTCGAGATCTGGCAGCATTGGAAATGTAGACCTTAGTGTAATAGTTCCACTTTACACCCTGTGTAAGTTTTGTTCTGCGGACTATTTCAGAATGTTCTAGCTCTCTTTGAAGCCGATGAAATATCACATCTGATATCGAAAACCGCATGAAGATCGGACAATTTTTCCAAAAAATACAGGTCTTCGAAATAGAGTCAAATTATGAGTGGTCCATTTAGTGATAGCTACTATACTTCACTCTACTTTGAGACAATATGGACTTCTACTATACTTTACTCTACTTTGAGACGATATGGACTTCTACAGTAAATTTAAAATCACATTAGGTACGCAAGGTATACAAAAGCAATTGCGATTACGGTTGCAGAAGAATGAATTTTTTTCATTGATTCGCCGCGCTGTATGCGATGTCCTTATCGCATTTATAATAAATGCAGTAAGTATAATGTGTGTTCGCTGCGCCTATGTCGGTAATATCGGAGTCAGTGGACCCGATATTGAGTCGGGAAAGTTGACTGAATCGGCCTGAGGCCTTTTGCCTACCTACTTAACGTAAAGACACCGAAGAAATACCAGATTTCAAAGTTATCACCGACGTAGTTACAAATTATTATGCTCCCCTCCTTGATACATACCAACGTCATACATTTATTTTCATTTCGGACCCCCCCGCAGCAAACGAAGTAGAATTTTCATATGTAATACCACAAGTGATACTATTTTGACAAAATCATTTGTCGATTGTTACAACAGCTTGTTGCCTAATAATTTCGCGAATTACGTTTATCAAAATTTTCGAGCCGTCGGCGAGAAATTTTGTAACAATGTCAATAGCGGGATTGAAGCAGCAAGCTGTAGTATATATCAGTCGAAGAATATTTCCAGGAAAAATAGTATCACGAGTTGTATTCGTATGACTTTTTCATGATTGAATCCATATTAAATAAGACAATATATGGTTATACAGAAATCCGTGCTGTCAAAAACAAATACTGATTATAAACTGACGTCAAAAGTTTAATCGTTGGTTGGTCACGTGTGAGACAATTCGGCTTCTGTATTGATAGAGCAAGTTCGATGATTCTTAGTGAACAAAAAATATCAACATCATCGGATGAATTCCTCTTCCTAACGAAAAAAAAAAAAATGCCAATCAATATTTCTATAAGCGAAAAACTGACATGGAAAAATTGCGAAACTGTAGGTCCAGCAATTTTGTCTAATGTCAGTTTTTCGAGTGGAATAACTGATGAAAAATTTTTGAGTTAGTAAGGAAATTTATTCAATAAAGAGAAGTTGAGAATTCTTTGGCAAGATGAATCAAAGAAAATAATTATACAGTGTGGCCCACTTATAATGGAAACACCCCTGTATCTTACGTAATCGTTGGGTAAGGATCCTGAAATTTGGGGAGAGTGAGAGATATACCAAAAATGCACTCTATGACCAATTGGGGTCATCTTTGGTGATATACACTGCTCGCCAACAGCCAATCATGAAGTTTCATAGGTGCAGCCATCAGGTGTGAATGAAATAATCGCTGAAATATAGGTCGATTCTGATTGGTTCTCAAGAACAAGAGTGGAATAGTCTTCAAGAAAATGAAAGTTGTATAGTCGTTCTTTATATTTGTAGTAAAATTCGAGTGGCCTAACTCATCAGTATCATCCCGTATATTTTGTAGCGCTACCACAAAGTTTTATTGTTGGGTGATTTGTTTTATTAGATTTTACACTATTGAGATGCTTGTTCAGTCTTTTGTGACAGTCTGAGGTGGACAAGTACAACAATATTATGGAGATATTCGATTTTACAACACACTTAAAGTTGAAAATTATTATACATATCGTGAGGAGATCGTTAATATTTACGATATGATATTCTCAAAGTAAAATATTCGAGACGTGAATATGCAGTATTTACCATAATTTTGTTTAATGACTCTGAGATTCAATAAATTACGACTTAGGCCATAACCATGAGTACTTGAAAAATAAATTAGCCCTGAGGGGCCCAATTTTCGAATCTTTCAGAATTAGTTTATATAGATATAAGATGATCTCATGCACTCAATTTCTATAGGAAACTTTTTTCCATATTTTTGAACGAGCTATCACATCCTGAAGTCCTGCGCATATATTATGAAACACCCTGTATAAATGTTTCACAAACACTTTAGAGTGAGATGATAAAAGATGATCATTGATAATTCCGGGAGATTGAACGAAACTGTTATAAAATGTAGTTCTTTGGGTTTTTGTCAATTCCAAATCGATGAAAATGAAGCTAATGAATATAGAAAGCGCTCTTCTGATGTTCGTATTTTGAAAAAAGTTCGACTCGAAAGTCTCTCAGAGGATTGTGAAAGAACAATTGAATATTAACATAAACAAAAAATATAATAGTAATTGTCATTTCAAATGAAACAAATCATAATGAATTTGCAACCTACTCAACTATACCGATAATTAATTCTATTTATTTCCGTTTAAACAACATACCTAATGTTCTAGTCGATATACAGCTACCTATACCTACCTAATGAGAATTCTTCTTGACAGAATAGAAAATTAAACACTTGGTTCTAATGTAGGTCGACGACAAAATAAATATTTGCCTTAAATGATGGCATCACCTTGTACCGAAATACGGATCGGTATCGTACCTCAATGTTTGAAATTCGCTTAATATCCGAATCACCTTGGATC